AAGCAGAAGCAGGTTTATGTTTGTGTGCTAGTCTATATAGAGGGTTCTGGGCCACCCAGGGCTATACACTGTTCTCAAAACAAACAAAAGGAAATCAGAATACAATTCAGTGAAAGACAAGGCTGTATCCAGTCATCAGATACCTAGATGGGTAAAAGTTGGTGTACATGAAAATGATCCACATGAATGCATCTTTAAAAGTATTGAGCAGTGAATGAATCTAAATATAGAACTAGACAGAAGTTTAAATGGTTTGTGCGGACCTTATCCTTGGGACTAAAGATTAAATAAAGTACTATTCTAAGTTAGATAAAAAATTGTTAGCAGGGTGGTGGCGGTGGTGATGGTGGCACATGCCTTTACTCCCACCACTCAGGAGGCAGAAGCAAATGGATTGAGGCCAGCCTGGTTTACAAATCAAGTTCTGGGACAGCCACAGCTGTTAACACAGAGAAACCCTGTCTCGAAGAGCAAAACAAAAAAGAATTGTTTTGTAATTCTCTTTAAGATTTTGAATTGCCTGTAACTAAGGTTAGTAGTCTTTGATTTGTTAGTGACTCAGGCCAGAGGCCTCCCATGAACAGAGATGCAGCAGAGGGCTTCTCAGTTTTTGAGTGGAGAATGTTACAATCTGCTCAACTAAATGGTGGGATAGCATAGTGGAGTCCAGTGTTTATCTGTTTGAGCTCCTGTTCTGCCAGATCACCTTGTGTGAGTGATTTAAGCTCTAAGCATAGCTTTCTCATTTACAGTGCTTGCTTTTTAGGGTGAAATGAGTTAATGTGTCTAAAGTTCTTATATAAAGTTCCCAGCATATGATCAAGGCTATTAACATAAATGTTACTAGTTCTGATTTTCAAAGACAGCTACAATCAGATCCCAATAAAGGCAATGTGTGAATGGATGTATGTATTTTAAATTTCTGATATTATGACCCATACTTTACCAATGAAATGAAGCCTGCAGGTAAAGCTGCAGTTGTGATGCTCGCCTTTAATCCCAGCCCTCAGGAGGCAGAGGCAGGAGGATCTCTGAGTCTGAGGCCAACCTGGTCTACACAGTGAGTTCCAGGACAGCCAGAGCCACACAGAGAAACCCTGTCTTGAAAAACAACTAAAAGCAGCAGCATGTCAAATGATTACCATGGGGGAAGAAATTGTTACACCTGCCTCAGGCTAACCATACACCTGTGTAGATGTGGCTTTCAGTAGTAATTTAAATGAAGTCTCACTTGGACATTTGATAATGGTAAACTCGAGCTTTACTAAGGATTAAGTGCCCCAAATAAAACTTTTGGTAGAAATTTGACATAGCCATTGGTATTACACTTAACCTACCATCCCTAAACAGCCTTAAAATGTCAAAATACATGGGCAACTGTGGTCAGGAACTGCTCAGCAGGCAAAGCACAATGGGGTTGGAGAGATGGCTCAGCAGTTAAGAGCACTGGATGCTCTTTCAGAGGACCTGGGTTCAATTCCCAGCACCCACATAACAGCTCACAGCTATTAACTCCAGTTTCAGGGAATCTGGCACCCTCACACAAACATAACACCAATGCACATAAAAATGTTTAAATCTTTTTAAAAATAAGAGACAAACACAAGGTGAACCCCATGTTTACCATGTTTGTCTACTTGGGACATGAAGAATGGAAAGCAAGAGTACTGAGCCTGCTGAAGTGAGAGACAGTGGCAGTCTGCCATTGCAGCACAAACAAAAAAAGGCTATAAGCCTAAATGTGGTTTATTCTTCTGTTTTTGGTTTTTTTTTGGGGGGGGTGTTTTTTGTTTTTTTCTATTTTTTGTTGTTTTGGTTCCGTTTGGTTTGGTTTTGGTTTTTGAGGCAGAGTCTCAGTATCTCACTATATAAGTTCTGGCTGTTGTAGAACTATGTAGACCAGGCTGGCCTCCAACTCAGAGCTCCCCCTGCTTCTGTCTTCCAAGTGCTGGGATTAAGGGTGTGCACCACTACACCCAACTGACAATCATATAAAATAATGTCATACAATGAAAATCATGAATGAATTAGTCAAGTTTTAGTGACACAGTATTAAGTGAAAAGGACAAATCCTAAGGGACTTTATTCAGCACTTTTTGAGACTGGGTTTCTCTGTGTAACAAGCCTATCTGTCCTGGAACTAGCTCTGTAGACCAGGCTGGCCTTCAACGCAAAGATCCACCTGCCTCTGGCTCCCAAGTGCTAGGTTTAAAGGTTTGTGCCACAACCGCCCAGCTTCAGCACTTTTTAACAAATATCAAAAGCAACTAAGATATACAGCAAAGTGCACACATTAAATCATTTGTCTATATTGAGTTTCCTGTTGGAGTTAAGGTTAAAAGTCCTGCACAGGATGCCATGTTATCTGAGATTGGCCTCAAACTTGTTTTTTTGTAGTAGATGACTTTGAATTTCTAATCCTTCCACATGCATCGGAGGCCCAAGAGCTAGGTTTCGAAGTATTTCCTACCATATCTACTTTAAATTTTACCAAGAGACTACGTTCCTTGGCTGTTATTAAACCAATAAAGAGCTGGGCATTGGTGGCACAGGCCTTTAATCCCAACACTCGGGAGTCAGAGGCAGATGGATCTCTGAGTTCGAGGCCAACCTGGTCTACAAATCGAGTTAGGCTCCAAAGCTACACAGAAAAAACTCTGTCTTGAAAAAACAAAACAAAGAACAAGAGTTGTTCCCAAATCTAAGCTTCTCACTACCACCTAATTTCTTTTAGTCTTGGAAAAAGAAATTTTACTGTTAACTACAACTCAAGATATCCAAAGCCTCCGCAAGTACCAGCCACTCACACATTATTTACAGACATTCATCCATTTAAAGTAAAAAATAAAACTAAAAAAAAACCTGGAAGCAGCCGGGCATTGGTGGCACACACCTTTAATGCCAGCACTCTGGAGGCAGAGGCAGGCAGATCTCTGTGAGTTCAAGGCCAGCCTGGTCTCCAGAGCAAGTGCCAGGATAGGCTCCAAAGCTACACAGAGAAACCCTGTCAGGAAAAACCAAAAACAAAAAAGAAAGAAAGGATGTCAGGGCTGGAAAGATGGCTCTGAGGTTAAGAGCACTGGCTGCTCCTCCAGAGGTCCTGAGTTCAATTCCCAGCAACCACATGGTGGCCCACACCATCTATGAGATCTGATGTCCAATTCTGGTGTACATGCAGGCAGAACACTGTATATATTAATACATAAATCTAAAAGAAAAAAAGCACTTAAAAAAAGGATGTCAAAAGAAAAACTAACATGTATATACACACATACATATATGATAAAACTGATCTCAAGTGCCACTTCCCTAATACACAATTTCTCCACAGAAACTTAGAGCAGTAAGACAAAAGATAACAGCAAAGACCCTGCAATGTAAAAAGGAAATACTAGTTATGTTTGGGGAAAATATAAATGTGAGATATATAACAAGACTATGAATTTGAAAACTATTTTATAGTGATGGAACAGAACAGGTACTACAAAACTGTTGTTGTGGCATATACTATACTGCTACTTAGAGCAGTTTTGCCAGGCTTGAGTTAAAAAAGCCCAAGAGCAGTTTCTAAGTACAGGTTTGGAAAAAAAAAAAAGTAAATGCAATTGGAAGTTAGATTCATACAGTACTTGCCTAGTATTCATAAGGCCCTGGGTTCAACCTCTAGCACTGCCAAAAGAAAAAATTAAAGGTTTAGATTATTCTAAGTAGCAAATTCTATAATGTCTATACTAAAGCCAGTTATTCCTTATAGGATTTTTCTCACGCTAAAGATAGGAGGGCCCCTGGCAGTGGCACCAGGACCTACCCCAGGTGCATGAACTGGCCTTTTGGAGCCCACTCCCTATGGTGGGATACCTTGCTCAGCCTTGACACAGGAAGAGCTTGGTCCTGCCTCAACTTGGTGTGCCATTTTGTGTACTTCCCAAAGCCTTACCCCTTTGAGGAGTGGATGGGGAGTGGGAATGGGAGGAGGTAAATTAATAAAAATAGTCACAGCAATGTTCTTAAAGTGGAGTAGGGAGCTACAATGATAGTGAAAGGAGCACTTGTTATATAGAGGGGAAAATTTTAGTGAACTTAAATTACAACCTATTCAATGGGACAGTATACAAACTTTTTAAAAAGTAGCTGCTGCTCTAATTCCTCTGTATTACTGATTTGCCATACATAGGTATGTATACACACACAACTATACTCACTTCTGATTTGTTAGTCTTGAAAACCCACAGCTGAAAAGGGATATAACTATACTTACTATACTTAGCCAGGTGGTGCAGCTCCCACCTTTAATCCCAGCACTTGGGAGGCAGAGGCAGGAGGATCTCAAGTGTTCAAGGCAAGCCTGGTCTACAGAGTGAGTCCCAGGACAGCCAATACAGAGAAACCCTGTCTTGGGAAAAAAACAAAACAAAACAAAAAAACCCACAAACCAATACTATGTACCCTTATATTTTGTACCACAGGAACATTTACTTTCTTTGCAAACTATCTCCCTACATACACAGCCAGGGTAGGCCCTAAGTGGCAATCCTCCTGCATCTACCTTCTAACACTGGGATCACATATACATGCTACCACACCCATCTGGTATGGTTGACCTTTAACATCTTTACACATGTGGTAGTAGCTGGTCCAGGAGAGCCTACCTCCCATCCTTATTCAAATCATCCTACAACTTACTTTCAGGAACTTTAATCCAAAAATCACCTAAAACCTGAAAAGATCAGTATGTACCCCATTTGCATGGATAATTTTTACACTTATAATTAGCATAGTCATAGAAATGTTTAATTTAAAAGTCTTATGTCCCTAATGCTTAGCTTTAACCTGTTGCTAATAAGTATGCCCTAACTTATGGTCAAATAAATTCACCCTTTTCTCCAAACAAGAGAAAATAAATCAACAAAAATGATCAACACAAAGCTTAACTGGGGAAAACGACCGACATGGAACCAATCTGCATTTAAGGGGAAATTAATATGTTAACACAAACACAATGCAAGTAATATACATTATTTTATTACAAATTTAAAAAAAAAAAAAACAAAAAAGAAAATGCAACATCCTAAAAAAAAATTACTGGCAATACAAATTCCTATGAAGTTTGCTGTGCTACCATAAGAAACTAACGAAACCATTAAATATTTAGGAACATTCAACATCAAAAGCTTTAAATCTAACTGTATGTTGTAGCCCCTAAAAAAGCTACAAACTCTTTTAAAAAAGTATTTTCTCTACAAAGAATTTTATCAGCTATACAAAAATCTGTACAGTTTTTTTATACTGAAGCTAATGTTGAGCTGCACTTGAATTTCACATTCTTAGCAAAATAGTTGCCTGAGCACATACACTCCACACATTTTAGGACAGCCATTTATTCTTCATCCTCGTCTTCTTCCTCATCATCTTCATCTTCCTCCTCCTCCTCCTCCTCTTCCTCATCTTCTGGTTCATTCTTCTTCTTTGACCCTGTTGGCCTTCCAGGACCCTTCTTTCCTGCTTCACTTTTGCCCTTGGCACGGTATGCAGCAATATCCTGAAATATCGTCAAAGTAAGATCAGCATCCGGTGTCATTGCTTAAGTGTGAAAAAAACCCACTTAATTGTAAACAACCTAAAGTTGACCAATAACCTCATTAGCTGGTATTCAGACTACCAGTTGAGAGCATTTGTTCCTTTTAGGCTTTAGAAAGCAAATCAGATAAAAACAATGGGAGCTGCCTCAGATCAGAGTTAGTACTTCTACTGACAATGCCTATTGACTTGGCACAGTTGCCCCTTCCCATCTTACACTTTTAGATTCTGCATATAGTTGGCACTCTAAAACAGAGCTAGGCAATTTTCAGTGTTGAGACAGAATTTACAAGGGCCACAAACACTAAGTTGAACTTGTTTGTACTGCTAATGTTTCATCAGGCCCTTTTAAAAACTGACAACCACTGATTACAAAAATTTCAAGTTTCTACAGCTCATAGAATACAAAACATTTTTAAAAAGGTAAAAAGGCACTATACCTTTTCATACTTCTCCTTTAGTTTGGCTGCTTTCTGCTCATAGGGTTGTTTATCTTTGGCAGACTGTTCAGACCACATCTCACCCAATTTTTTTGCAGTATCTCCAATAGACAGGCCTGGGTGTTCACTTTTGATCTTTGGGCGATGTTCAGAGCAAAACAGGAAGAAGGCAGACCTGAAAGGAAGCAATGGAGTTAACAAGCGGAGAGCAGGCAAAGGCAAGAGGCAGTTTGTTTCGTTTGGAGATCAACTTACGGTGGTCTTTTTGGAGCATTAGGATCCTTTTTCTTGCCTTTCTTATCACCTTTGGGAGGAACATAATTCTTCATCTCCCTGTCATAACGAGCTTTGTCGCTCTTGGCCAAATCTTCAAATTTCGACTTTTCCTTTGCAGACATGGTCTGGGGGAGGCGGGAACCGAGTAAATAAGCAAAAATTGAAGCTCTTAGCCGTCCCCAATAAATAAAGACGAATAGGCCAGCAAAATCTTAAGCTCTTGGGCCCATAATTAAAAAAAAAAAAATAGAGCGAGTGAACCGGCTAGTTCTTAAGCTATTAGCCGTACATATTAATAAACGAGTCAACCGGCAAAATTTGAAGCGCCTGGCCGAACACACAAACGTAAACAAGTAAACACACACAAGGCAGGCGAACCGACGCATTTTTTTTTCTTTTTTTTTTTTTTTAAGCTCCCCCCAACCCCAGT